AGTATACATAGGTATTCCTGTTCCTATAGTTGGTAGTATTCGTCTTCTAATTTCATTAGGTATGTGACCTAGTTCTTCATGCAGCCTAAGGTTATTTGTTTTTTTTTTCTTTGGTTTCCAGTATTATTTTTCTAAGTTTATTGCTTCATCTTGGTTGTTTCTTGGTTTTATTGGTGTTGTAGCTCCTGCATTCGATGTGAATTGTTTTACACTTTTTGTGGAGCTAGAGCTACATGAATTTCCTGTTTGTGGATCATACACTAATCCTATGATAGAAGTGATACTGGTGGTTCTATTATGACTACTTGATCTTTCACACTTATGTGCGTTGGTATATGTGCTTTTTTGTTTTCTATGGAAGTTACTCTATTTCGATAGAAACTTTCATTATTTCGCTGTTTCTAATTAGTTGTCTGTTTTACTGCATTATCTTTCACTACCTGCTTTACTAGTGATTCTTCTTTTTTATCTGGGTACTTCCCTATCTGGTCACATAGTTGGAAAACCACGATTTTTGTAGCTTCTATGCTTGTACTGTTGGTGGTTCTGGCATTTTCAATGCTTCTATATTATGTATCGTTATTTTTTATCCTTGGATACTTGGTTCTCCAGTAATTGGCAAAGTTCGCGTAAGATCTTTAAGATCTCTATTTTCTAGAATTTGCTTCGTAAATTCGTCAAATTATTCCTGGAACTTTGCATCTTCTGTAGCGGAGTCATCACTCCAAGAGGAGGATGCTTCGCTTACACTACTTGTTGTTACTCTATGTGTTTTATATTCATTCTGTTTTTCTTTTTTGTCTTCTTGTTCTTTTTGTCTTTTTGTTATATTTAATTTTTTCTGGTTAGTTGATATTTCTATTTTGGCATTTTTTTGCCATCTTTTGTTAGCTCTTTTCCTTTTGCATCATTTAAAGAAGTGTTACCTATTGCTGTTAATTTAGCTTGTGTTGCTCTTCTTTGAGCTTCTGTCAGATTAATATACTGTTCTGGCCTAATATCAAGAACATTTTCTGAGTTCTCGATATGTCGTATCTCACCTTCATCCAGGTCTCTTGTATATATTCTTCGAGTTTCTTCATTTTGTTTGTCATACCATTGTGTTATTTCAAATAATTTTTCTTGGTATGTTTCATATAGTTTCTTTTCTTTTAATCCCTTCGGTAGTGCTTCTATATCTTTCATGTTATCAAGATATATTTTTGCTTCTTGATCCTCATTTCTTTGAACTTCTGGAAGTTAGAATCCATTGTTGCTATGTGATCTATGAGATCTATTAGTGTTTTAGCTATATTCTCGTCTTCTTCTTGTTCTTGCAACTTTTCTAACTTCTTGAAGTTCAAAGAAATGAGGATCAAGAAGCAAAAATATATCTTGATAACATGAAAGATATAGAAGCACTACCGAAGGGATTAAAAGAAAAGAAACTATATGAAACATACCAAGAAAAATTATTTGAAATAACACAATGGTATGACAAACAAAATGAAGAAACTCGAAGAATATATACAAGAGACCTGGATGAAGGTGAGATACGACATATCGAGAACTCAGAAAATGTTCTTGATATTAGGCCAGAACAGTATATTAATCTGACAGAAGCTCAAAGAAGAGCAACACAAGCTAAATTAACAGCAATAGGTAACACTTCTTTAAATGATGCAAAAGGAAAAGAGCTAACAAAAGATGGCAAAAAAATGCCAAAATAGAAATATCAACTAACCAGAAAAAATTAAATATAACAAAAAGACAAAAAGAACAAGAAGACAAAAAAGAAAAACAGAATGAATATAAAACACATAGAGTAACAACAAGTAGTGTAAGCGAAGCATCCTCCTCTTGGAGTGATGACTCCGCTACAGAAGATGCAAAGTTCCAGGAATAATTTGACGAATTTACGAAGCAAATTCTAGAAAATAGAGATCTTAAAGATCTTACGCGAACTTTGCCAATTACTGGAGAACCAAGTATCCAAGGATAAAAAATAACGATACATAATATAGAAGCATTGAAAATGCCAGAACCACCAACAGTACAAGCATAGAAGCTACAAAAATCGTGGTTTTCCAACTATGTGACCAGATAGGGAAGTACCCAGATAAAAAAGAAGAATCACTAGTAAAGCAGGTAGTGAAAGATAATGCAGTAAAACAGACAACTAATTAGAAACAGCGAAATAATGAAAGTTTCTATCGAAATAGAGTAACTTCCATAGAAAACAAAAAAGCACATATACCAACGCACATAAGTGTGAAAGATCAAGTAGTCATAATAGAACCACCAGTATCACTTCTATCATAGGATTAGTGTATGATCCACAAACAGGAAATTCATGTAGCTCTAGCTCCACAAAAAGTGTAAAACAATTCACATCGAATGCAGGAGCTACAACACCAATAAAACCAAGAAACAACCAAGATGAAGCAATAAACTTAGAAAAATAATACTGGAAACCAAAGAAAAAAAAAACAAATAACCTTAGGCTGCATGAAGAACTAGGTCACATACCTAATGAAATTAGAAGACGAATACTACCAACTATAGGAACAGGAATACCTATGTATACT